GGGGGAGCCGTGCTAAGCCGCAGCGGTGTCGTGCCTCCTCGGCTGCGGCTCGTTGCTGCCATCGCACGTCCAGCTCCCACTGTACAAGTCGCATTTCTGTCATCACTACTCAGGCCTGATCCTGCACTCACACTCCCTCCGGCTCTGCTTGTCTCCGTCCACCGCAGGATTTTCCCCCGAGCCCAGCAGAACCTCAGGTTTGCCGTGCCAGCTCCTTATTGCAAGAAGTATTTGCGCGGCTGCGCATGCCTTGTTGCCAAATCATCTGCCATAACTCCGCGCCGATCCCCTCTGGCTCTGGCTGCCGAATAAAGCCCCCGCAGGCAGCGCTGCCCTCACCCTGCCCATCCCTGCCGGCTGCGAAGCCCTGCGAGCGATCTCTCCCATCGTCTTGGTGGCAGTGCGCTGCCGTGAGCCCCAGCACCCACTGAGAACGGGGAAAAATTGGGGGTGGAAGGAAGGAAAAAGGTGTGTAAAACCAGCCGGACTTGCTGGGCGCTTCTGCTGCCCTCTTGCCCCTGTGGCACTGGAAGAACAGCTCGCGGGTGGCTTGTGCCACCTTATTGCATCATCTGCTGACAGGGAACGCGCACCCACCTGCCCACGGACCCGGTGGCCCCGGTTTGACTGGACCTGTTTGTCTTCGGATTTGCATTTGGGGCTTGGAGAAGACTGCGTCCGCGTAAACCACACCGATTCCCGTCGCCACACACGAGCACCCTGCCAAGCCCCCCACCCCAGACACCCACCGTGGGTGCTGGAGGGACACAGGGCCACACTGCTCAGCTCCTGCCTCAGCTCAGCAGCTTGTCCCACCACCACATCCCACCTTGCCTGGCTCTGGAGCTCGGCTAAAGTTGCAGGAGCAGCCTGGGGTGGGCTGCGAGCTCAGGGAGAGCAGCACAGGTTTTGCATCGGAGGGCAGGTGAAGCGAGAGCGGCTTGGAACGCCAGCAGAAAGGGTTTGCTCCCGGCTCTCCCGTCGTTTATTTAACGAAGCCCGCTCAGTTGCAGGCCCCGTTGGCAGGCCCGGCGATGCGGGCGATGGCCCGGCGATGTGGGCGATGGTCCAGCCACATGTGTCGGCATCCAGGCGGCGCGTCCTCTGAGTTTCATGGGGAACGTCGGTGAAACGGGGATATTTCTTTCCTGCTGGGAAGTTTCAGCCCGTAAAGTTCCGCCTGACTCAGCCCGGCAGAGCCGCAGGCAGGAGTCGCAGCTGAGAGGGGAACCACCAGCAGTTTTCCACCCTTCCAGCTGAAGCCGAGAGGCACCAGCTTTGGTTTAAAACCTTTTTTTTAAATTAATTTCACAGAATCACAGAATTTTCAGAGTTGGAAGGGACCTCTAGAGATCATCTAGTCCCACTCCCCTGCTAAAGCAGGACTGCCCGGCGCACATCCCTCAGGACTGCATCCAGGCGGGTTTTGAACATCTCCGGAGAAGGGGACTCCACCCCCTCCCTGGGCAGCCTGTGCCACTGCTCTGTCACCCCAACTGTAAAGAAGTTTTTCCGTGTGTTGGAATGGAACTTCCTGTGTTCCAGCTTGCGCCCATTGCCCCTCGTCCTGTCACTGGGAACCACCGAGAAGAGTCTGGCTCCATCCTCCTTCAACCCACCCTTTAGATATTTGTAAGTAGTAATAAGGTCTCCCCTCAGCCTTCTTTTCTCCAGGCTAAAGAGTCCCAGCGCTCTCAGCCTTTCCTCGTAAGGGAGGTGCTCCAGTCCCTCAATCATCTTGGTTGCCCTGATGCCCTCAGGGCAACCCTCAATCATGCCCTTGGTTGCCTAATTTGGGGGATTTTTTAACCTGGGAGCTTTCCCTGTGCGCTCCTTGCCATGGCGTGACTGATTTTCCCGGCGTGTCACCGTGCTGGTGGCACCGTGGCCTCCCTAGCCCGGCCCTCGGGGACCGGGGGCCGCATCCCCGGGGGACCCCCGGGACCGCGGGAGGGCGCGGCG